CATGACCCTCTCCCCCTACCAGTTCTGTTACAGCGACTCCAAACAGTTATCTAGCATGCTGGGTCCCCCTCCTTCACTCCTGTCTGAGTCTGAGCCCCACACAGCACCTGTGACTCTCAGCTCTGGCATCTTAAACCTTCTTTTTGGGGTTAAGAACCCTCTAGTTGGTCCCAACAGTAAGTGAAGAATTCCAGTTTTTGTCATTCTTCAGTGCTGATTAAACCTATGTGATTTTGCTTGTCTTTAATCCCCTGTATATTGAGTGTCTTCTCCTCGCCCCTGGCTCTGCCCTCATCTGCTACACACCACCATGGCAATACCTCTTCTCTCTCTATCTGACCTGAGGGCAGAACTTACCCTCACTGAAATCAACCAGAAGCTTCCGTTGCATCTGATAAATAACAAGGACTTTCAAGACCTCACAGAGAAGTTCCTCATATCCAAGCAACTGCTTACCCACTGCCAACCAGCTGCCAGAAGTACAATACAGTCCTTAGGGTCGTGATCACCAAAGCAATGAATGGTCACTCTCTTCCCTCTAAGCCTCCATGCTTTGTCTCCTGTTGCCTTTGTCATTTTGAATTCCATTCTGACCACAATCCAGGAAAAGTACAAGTGGCTCTTTTCCCCTCAGTTCCCTGAGGATGGAAAACTGAGGCACAAGGAGTGGAGGCACTTTTCCAACTTTGTGGTGAGTTGTAGGGTGAGATACAGATTGTGTATCTGTATCTCAATCACCCAGTGTCACGATCATCCAGGTTGTGATTCCTGGCGCAAGCACAGAACTGCCTGTGTCTCTCGGGAGAAAGCTAAAGTGTGTTGACTGAAATGGCTATTCTACCCAAAGCAATCTATAGATTCATTGAAATCCCTATCAAGCTACCAACAGTATTTTTCACAGAACTAGAACAGATAATTTCACAATTTGTATGGAAATACAAAAAACCTTGAATAGCCAAAGTAATCTTGAGAAAGAAGAATGGAACTGGAGGAATCAACCTGCCTGACTTCAGACTATACTACAAAGCCACAGTCATCAAGACAGTATGGTACTGGCACAAAGACAGAAATATAGATCAATGGAACAGAATAGAAAGCCCAGAGATAAATCCACGAACCTATGGACATCTTATCTTCGACAAAGGAGGCAAGGATATACAATGGAAAAAAGACAACCTCTTTAACAAGTGGTGCTGGGAAAACTGGTCAACGACTTGTAAAAGAATGAAACTAGAACACTTTCTAACACCATACACAAAAATAAACTCAAAATGGATTAAAGATCTAAATGTAAGGCCAGGAACTATAAAACTCCTAGAGGAGAACTAGGCGAAACACTGTCTGACATAAATCACAGCAGGATCCTCTATGACCCACCTCCCAAAACATTGGAAATAAAAGCAAAAATAAACAAATGGGACCTAATGAAACTTAAAAGCTTTTGCACAATGAAGGAAACTATAAGTAAGGTGAAAAGACAGCCCTCAGATTGGGAGAAAATAATAGCAAATGAAGCAACAGACAAAGGATTAATCTCAAAAATATATAAGCAACACCTGCAGCTCAATTCCAGAAAAATAAATGACCCAATCAAAAAATGGGCCAAAGAACTAAGCAGACATTTCTCCAAAGAAGACATACAGATGGCTAACAAACACATGAAAAGATGCTCAACATCACTCATTATCAGAGAAATGCAAATCAAAACCACAATGAGGTACCATTACACACCAGTCAGGATGGCTGCTATCCAAAAGTCTATAAGCAATAAATGCTGGAGGGGGTGTGGAGAAAAGGGAACCCTCTTACACTGTTGGTGGGAATGCAAACTAGTACAGCCACTATGGAGAACAGTGTGGAGATTTCTTAAAAAACTGGAAATAGAATTGCCATATGACCCAGCAATACCACTTCTGGGCATATACACTGAGGAAACCAGATCTGAAAGAGACATGTGCGCCCCAATGTTCATTGCAGCACTGTTTATAATAGCTCGGACATGGAAGCAACCTAGATGCCCATCAGCAGACGAATAGATGAGGAAGCTGTGGTACATAGACACCATGGAAGATTACTCAGCCGTTAAAAGGAATTCATTTGAATCAGTTCTAATGAGATGGATGAAACTGGAGCCCATTATACAGAGTGAAGTAAGCCAGAAAGATAAAGAACATTACAGCATACTAACACATATATATGGAATTTAGAAAGATGGTCATGATAACCCTATATGCAAAACAGAAAAAGAGACACAGATGTACAGAACAGTCTTTTGGACTCTGTGGGAGAAGGCGAGGGTGGGATGTTTCTAGAGAACAGCATGTATATTATCTATAGTGAAACAGATCACCAGCCCAGGTGGCATGCATGAGACAAGTGCTTGGGCCTGGTACACTGGGAAGACGCAGAGGAATTGGGTGGAGAGGGATGTGGGAGGGGGGATCGGGATGGGGAATACATGTAACTCCATGGCTGATTCATGTCAATGTATGACAAAACCCACTGCAATGTTGTGAAGTAATTAGCCTCCAACTCATAAAAATAAATGAAAAAAATAATAATAAAGTGTTTTGACTTGAATTTTTTCTGTTCATGTCTGATCCTGTATTCCTGTTGGCTAAACCTCTGGGACTAATGAACTCCATCAGTTCAAGCCTCCCTGAGGTTCCATTGGCAAAGCCCTGTGCTAGTTATACAGGGGTAATGTGGTGGTTATATATTGCGAGAAGCAAGGAATCATAAGATTTAAAGGAACTTAAAGATGAGGCTGCTCCTCACTGAAACCATGATCTCTATGAGTGACGCCATCAAGATAGGGCCTCCCTGGTGAGAAGGAAGCCATGCTTCCTGGGTGTAGGGTGTCTTTCCTGTCCAAGAAAGCCATGTGACATTCCGTGATGAGGTTGAGGGTGTTTCTGGGGAAATCAGACCGTCTATACATCCCCCTCTATTTCTACCTGAGCTGGTGAAAGTTTGGTGATGCAGGTTGGCCAGGAGTCCAGGTGACCCTGAGTCTGTGGTATAAGATGTGTGACCAACATGAGCAAATGGTAAGTGGGAGAGATCACCAGCCACAGTAAAATCCCAGGCAGAGTGTGGGAGAGGCCCTTTCTACCCACAGTCAGCCTGGCAGTTGAAGCACTGTTGCCTGTTCAGGGAGAAGGGCCTGTAGTGAGGAAAGAAGTCATGAGCAGGGTACATGCACAGCAAGGGGATGACAGAAATCTTGACAACTTGAGTCTGTGTAATCGTTTTCCATTAATCTATGAGGGAATTAATGAAAAATGACTGACACAGAGAAAAGTAAAAAGTAAAGCCTGTTGTTTAAGAAAGTAAAGGGATAAGCTTTGGGGAAAGGACAAACTTAGTTTTATTTACATCTTTCCTTTTAATCATAACATTATTCTAAGAAAGGAATTGTGAGGCTGGTGAAGAAGAAATGTCTCACCAGGACCCTGTGGGAGGTCACACAGCACAGTGTGAAGGGCATGGACTCTGGGCCAGGCTTCCGAGGCTCACATCCACGTTGGGAATCTTTCTGTGCTTCTGTTTCCTCCTCTGTCCGTGTGGTGCTGTAATAGTAACTATTGTTTGAGTTATAATGAATACTGAGTAAATCTGATAAAGCCCTGACAGTAGTGCCTGGCTCAGTGTAAACACAGTTCGCAGTTCTACTATTCCTAATAATGCAAACATTATCAGTGTTTGGGCACAATTCTTTCAGGTCCTTATGGTTTCGTGTATTCTATTTCACACAAGTGTGTCCAGGTGAGTTTTTTACCTCAAGATACTTGTTCATTACTGAAATACTGTGATGTCACAGGGGAACCATCCGTTTAGCCCTATAGGCCTTCCCGACCACACAGGAATCGCCACCCCAGACCCCTGCTCAGTGTCTCACCTAAGAGGCTGCAGGTCCTGGTTCAGTGGCCCAGGATTCAGGGTCAGTCTCAGGGGCTGTGAATTCTGACTTTGCCAAATGGCAGTTCAAACTGTCTACTTGCTTTCTGTGCCTAGGAGCTTCTCTTTCCTCAGCTCTAAAATGGGGAGTCACCTCAGTTGGGAGGCTGAGAAATCAGATATGGACATGGCTGTGTAGACCTTGGTACTGAGGTTACATCTGCCTCCGGGGGCCCGTCCTCCTCCTCTGAAGGCAGTGACCACAGCAGTAAGGCCAGCTTCCCCTGAGGCAGTGTCTCTCTTTCCTCAGAGTGTGAACCGTGTAAGGACAACGTTGAATCTGTGATGGGGAGAAGCTGCCTTTTGAGGCACTGAGGCCAGCAGAGAAGCCAACGCTCGATGAGAGGCTGAGGGAAGGAGGGCAGGGGTGTTCATGGCAGGCACAGGACACTGTCATAAAAGAGGTGCATGTACGCTAAACCACTTCAGTTGTGTCTGACTCTTTGCGATCCCATGGCCCGTAGCCCACCCGGCTCCAACAGTTGGTGGATTGTGGATTCCAATTATTATTCAGGGCTTCAGTTACTCTGTTTTTTAAAAACTTGACCTAAAACCACATATCATGGAATTCACCAAATTCAAGTGGACAGTTCGCCTCAGTGGCACCTGGTACATCCTCAGTGTTGTGCAATTAGAACCGTATTTGCCTCGAAATCACAGCTCCCTCCTGACTGACCACAGCTTGTCATCCTTGCTTGACCCTGACATTCTCTTGTTCTTTCCAGTCCACACCAGCTGTACCTCTCCACACTCTGTATCTGACTGTGTGTCACTCAATGTGTGATGCTGTGTGTGTATTTTTAAATGGAAATGGCTTCGTCTGAGCAAGGAACTGAAGGGACAACTTCACAACACAGGTTTAGGAAGACATTAGGTTTTGACTACAGAAGAACAAGATGAATGGGATGTCAGGGAATCTTCAGGAGCACTTTCGGATACAGAGTGCATATTTGTTGTTTCTTCTTTCTCTATGACATAGTTTGATCATCAAATATGTGCCAGAATTCTGTTTCAAGGGCTTCTTGGGGATGTTGTGACAGAAATCCCTAACAGTCTCTCATCTACCTCTTTGACTTTAACAACTGTCTGTTCTGTCTCACCTAGGATGTGTGACACCCTAATTCGAAGTCAGGCAAGAGAGCTGACCCAGTTACAGCAGACACTACGGGACGGGAAAGATGACCCTGTCCTGCTCAGTCAGCACCTCGAGGACCTCCTCACCCACAATGACCTGGATAGCCACCAGGGGCAGGGCTTCCGAGAGAGCCTGTTTGAGGGACACTGGCTGGCAGAGCGCCTTGCCTGCAAGCTCAGCCCAGGTGAGGGGGCCGCAGACCCTGAGAGCACTGATCCTCTCCTTGGTCCCCATTTCATAAGATGAACACAACTCCACTAGGAATTTTTTTTTTAATCAGCTTTCCTGTTTCATGTCCCATTTGGGGATATGATAGGAGCAGGACTGGCTAAGTGGGAGGACAGAGGAGAAATGCACAGAGTGGAGGTAATAGTATTTGAACTGTCTGCTTCCTCCCTGATGGAAAATGGCCACTGGGGCAAGAGGCAGCATCCAGATAGCGTTAAAGCAGAGATAAGACGAGATGACAGGAGGAAGCTTATTAGAGTGAAAAAAGCCCTGGACTAAACATGGAAGTTCCCAGGTTCCAGGCTGAGTGCTGTGCTTATAACTGTGTGTGAGTGATTGGTTTTTCTTATGTCAATAACTGTTTTTTCATCTGTAAAATGGATCAAATAATCTGTTGATGATAGCTATAGTGATGAAATTTTGGAATATGTACAAATGCACTGCAGAATAAAGAATGCCTTTCATTTTGTGGTGTTGGGTAAGGTACTTGACAGAGTTGAACTTGGTTTTGGGAAAGTGGATTAGCATGAAGCACTTTCCATAGAGAGACTTTGCCTGATAACATACAAAAGCTACCTTGAAGAGCCAGGATGTTTCCAGATGGAGGGATGTGGGACTTGGTTGTTCTCCTTAGAGAAAGGAGGGCATCCTGTGAGACCTGAGGAAGTTTTTAGAGCCTGTGTCTTTGGGAGAATCTGTGGCAGGATGGATGATACAATTGTAGAAGTGGAGATGGAAGGTGGACAATGTGAGGTGATATAAGGAAGAAAAGACAATTTAAATGTTTGCCCAATTTCAGGCAGAAGGTGCCCTGAGGAGGATCTACCAGTTTAGAAACAGACTGCCTGATGGATCAGAAATCCCTGCTGGGACAGTTGCTTAAAAACAAAGTTCTAACAAATTAGAACTTCCATACAGCACTAAGTCATACATAGATATTTATGACTCTGTGACCATATGAGTCCCTGTGTTTGTAATAGGTGATGTGGCAAGAATCTCAATGGATATTTCTAAATTTGTCTGCATAAATTTATGAAAATGAGGAGGATGAACAAGGACAAGAAACACTCATGTCAGGTAACAATGAACTGTCAGGAACTGGGTAGGAAAATGGGTAGGGAAAATATGGACAGGGTCACAGAAAGAACAGTAAATGAGGTCAGAAGAATCAGAGATGCCAGCTGTAAGCCTAAGCACAACTGCAGATGGTATTAATTTACTTCAACCCAGATATGATTGGCCCTGTAATTTGGTCGTCTGTTGTCTCTGTGCTACTTGTATGTAAGAGCCAGGGTAAATGCACCACTCTTAGGATTTCCTGTACACATAGAGAATATCTGTTCTCTCCTAAAGGAGGTCCAAAGTGTGAGAAATACCTATTCCTACACAGTTGTTTAAGATCCGTGGGAGGAAGATAATCAGCAATTAGTACAGAAGTAACTAGAAAAATTAAACATGAGGACAACTGTCTAGAAAAAAATTGGTTGTCACATGACAATAGAAAGAGGCCTTGGAAACCTTTCAATTCCTAAAAAGGAAGCATAGTATTTCTGGGAGTCTCTAATGCTTTAATAGATATGTTTACTTGACTCTGCGTGCTCAATTGCTCAGTTGTGACTACTGTTTGCAAAGCAATGGGCTGTAGCCCACCAGGCTCCTCTGTCCATGAGATTTTCCCATCAATATTATGGAATTGGGTTGCTATTTCCTCCTCCAGGGGATCTTCCCGACCCAGGGATTGAATCTATGTCTCCTGCATTGACAGGTGGATTCTTTACCACTGAGCCAACAGGGAAGCCCTTGTTCACCTGACTACTTCATCTTAAATTCAACATGACTTAGGACCGGGGGGATGCACTTGGTGTGGAAGTTCGTCTGTGCTTCCTGTTCCTGAAAGGACCATCCTGGAATGGTTGAGTCTCCTTCCTCATCAGAGCTTTGTGGCCAGTATATGGAGCACCTGCTGTAGTCTCCCTCCCACTCCCAGACAGCCCCAGTCAGTTTCAAATACGGGAGGATAGTTTCTTCTCTCTTTAAGGGGACTGCACTTTTTCTTTCTGTGACCACTCTCATGTGTCCCATCAAAACCAGCCAGAATGGCTTGAAGTCAGATCCCCTTCATTTAATTTTCTGTAATCCCTTTCCATGTCACAGCATGGAAATGCAGGAGGTTGAAAAGAAGGAATTGCCTGAGGAATCCAAGGATGAACGTGTTTTGATGCCTTCAATTCTCCAAGAAAGTTCTGTCACCAGCCTTACAGTGATGACAAATTTGCATTTGATGAACCAGAAGTGGGCCTTGGTCTGGGTGGAGCTTGTGGTTGCTCCCAAGCTAAAGAGGATGAAATTCCAACCAATCTCCCAGGTAGCTTCTGTGTTTGTTGTCCCCACAATCTGTATAGACTGAGGAAGGTCATCCGTGAGGACAGGTAGTATAGACACATCTTAGTTGAAACCAGGAGAAAGGATCTATTATGGAACACAGACATCAGGTCGGTCAGCAAGCCTTCATCATTTTCTTGGCCCTGGTCTTGCCTCTGTTACCCTGGCCCCAGTGTCAAACCTTTGACCCAAATCTATTGTGACAACTCTCACCTACCTCAGCTGGAAATCCAAAGGAGGTGTCACACCTAGTTTGGATCCAATGTGTTTGTTATCTTCAATGATCTAATTTTTTTTTATTTTGTAAATGTCCCTGGCCTCTCCAGAAATGATGGCAGATTTGCCTCTTTATTAGATGAGGTGATATCCCTGTTTGGTTTCACTCCTCTCATCCCCAGTCTCTCTTTTCTCTAGGTTGGCTAGTCTTCACTAAGCAGTCACTCAACAACCAAGACAGACACAACTGTACCATTGCCTTCCTTGGATGTTTCCATGAAGCAAGGCTGGACTCTGGCACTTCCTCAAGCCTCAAATGGCCGTGGTTTCTGTGTATCACCAAAGATTCTTTTTGATTTGAGGGTTAATACAATTCACTGGGCTTTCCTGGTGGTTTAAACAGTAAAGAATCTGCCTGCAATGCAGAAAACCTGGGTTTGAACACTGAGTGTAGAAGATCCCCTGGAGAAGGAAATGGCACTCACTCAAATATTCTTGTGTGGAGAATTCCATGGTCAGGGAAGCCTGATCGGCCACAGTCACTGGGCTTGCAAAGAGTCAGGTGTGACTGAGTGACTAACACTTTCACACTTTTACTTTTCACAATTCACCCATCACTCTAGTCTCAAGTATGAATTCCTCTAAACCGTCAACAATCACAAAATCTGATGGGACAAACCAATATTGTGGAAATAATTCTAGAAAATAACTCAGCGCATTTTCTAGGATCTCTGGGGAAAATACACTATTAACTGTTTATACAGATGCAGAACAAAGGATATTGGGCAAGAGCTCTATGAGATCAAGGAGAGAATTTCCCCTATGGGTCTAGAAGTAGTCCAGTCTAATTCTTATAAGACTTAAGAGTCCTAGAATATCTTTGCTAAAGTGTTATGTTCCTGCACTGAGAAGATTAGTGTCCCCGTGGTAAATATGTTTACTGAGTAGGTATGTGTGAGGTGTGATTTGCTTATTATGACCTGTTATCTTTGAATTTCTTGCTAGACAATCAAAATGATCACGAGCAAGTAAATGGACAAGATTTAACATTTCCCAGGTAATTCTGAAGATCAGTGGGCCATGAATGTCAGTGGTGACTGCCCGAGACCTCAAGGGCAAGGGAAAACAGGAAGTGCCAAAAGTAAATCTCTCATCTATTTAGTTAACAGCCAAATATCTCTTTAACAATATTGTCTGTTTTCATTTCACAGGCTGAGTGCGTTCAGTTTCTTAATGTACAGTGAGTTGATCCAGGTGGAAGAGCCAAACTCAGGAGTTCCTGTAATCAAGTATTTTCTCCTGAGTCGTTAAAAGTAGCGTGAGATTCATATCAACCTTGTGCCTGTTTGGCTGCAACATGTTGGCCAATATTTGTTTCCAAGTAAAGAAACTAGAAAAAAATTGTATTATATCAAAATACTAAGAAAATAGTTCCTGAAGGCAGAATATCTAGTCTGTAATTCCTCAAAAGCTGTATTCACTTGGATCCTGCCTATCCAAATCAACACAATGTGTGCAGAAAAGTGAGAACCAATATCCTAGTCCTCTTGCGTGCTGGGAGTCATGATTAGCATGCAGGGAAATTTCAGTCTCCTTCAACTGCTGGTTGTGTTGCCAGTGCCCAGCAACCTACTGTCTCTCCCACCCCTTGTCACCCCATTTCACATACAGGAGGAGTGACTTCCCTCTTTAAGGGGACTGCACTTTTGCCTTCTGTAACCAGTCCTCATGTCTGTCATCAAAAGCAACCAGGATAGCTTGGAGTCGAATCCTCTTAATCGTTTGTCATCCCTTTTCCACCTGACACAGCGTGAACCTGCATGATGTCGCAAAGAATGAGGTACTTCAGCAATCCCAAGATGAATGTGTTTCAGTACCTTCAGTTGTCCAGGAAGATTCTACCTGCAACCAGCCTTACAGGAATGGAAAATCTGCATATGATGAAGAGAAAGTGGGGTTTGCTCTGGATGGAGCCTGCGGTTGCTCCCATGCTAAAGAGGATGAAATGCTAATTGATCTCCCAGGTAGTCTGCGATATCTTTGGTAGCCTACTCTAAGAGAATTAATCCCCTTAGATAGATAGACCCTATGCTTACAAACTGAAGCCTGCTTTGAACCAGACTCTCTAATTGCATTTTAAATAAGACATTCTATGAGTGAACTTTTCTCAGTTCCTAGTCATGTTTGTCCCCGTGGTTGACCACTCTACCCAAGGTGGTTCTGCCAGATTCACGGGTACCTCAACAGCTGAGGTAACTTTCAAGCTTCCTCATTTTGAACGAGTCTCCTATCTCACGTGAAGTGCTCTAATTTTCATTCCTGAGCAATGTCCTTGAGTTCCTACACCTGCCCAAGACT